GGCTGGACCTGGACCCGTAATGTAATCTGCTATGTTATGCTTTGTCCTAAATGGCATTTTAGTCCGCGATGATAATGTGCTGAAGCCAGAAGGCATTTATTGTGCAAGAATGGTTTATGTTCTGACTTCCAGACTATCGATTAGCCTCCGAACTCCCCAATATGAGTCTCATAGAGCATTTGTGGGACACTATGGAAAGGTATATTAGGAGTCAGGATACACTAATCACCTCCAAACGTGCATTGCAAGTCTCATTACACACAGCTTGGTTAGCAATTCCTCCCAGATATTTCTGATATCTTGCTGAATCATGCTTCTTCACTGAAGGCAGAAGAAGTACCTACTAAATATTAGGATGGTCATAATTCAGTGATAATTCAGTCTTTTATAATACACTCTCGGTCAAAAATGTTTTCTACTATTTGGCGTACTGATTCATTGCACAATGCGCAATACTTATATAGATTAATGCAGAAATTTTAATGTATAATTTTATGAAATAACAAAGAAAATGTAAGGTGTGAGACTCTGTCAACCGGATTTTCATTGAAAAATTTTAATATGAGCATATCTTTTGTTACTACCAAAGAATCAAGCACACATAATGCGAAACACAGGAATGTAAATTTGGATTTTTATTGTATCTGATCTGCGTTCTTCTCTACTTCCTTAAGAAGTCGTTTTGATATGGATGCAGGACTTTAGTCACCTCAGATAAGTTTCTAGCAATTTCAACATAATAAAACGTTAATGGCTTCGACGTATTCCTTCCGGTTGTTGTACTGTTGATCATGGTATAGATATACTTATAAAAGATGCTAGATATTCTTTATAATATTTAAGTCTGAACTTTCTTTTGAAAGCTAATGCAGAACATTCATATTGTTGTCCTGAATGTACTGTATGTATTAACGCGTTGTCCTGCTGTAATAGCCCGATTTTGTGGCCAAAATGCACTTAATACATGGTAAGACGTATCGAAAGTCTTCCAGATAAGCACTGCTAGTATGTTATGTCCAGCAGCGTAAAGAAAGCTATAATTATCTACACATATGTACATAATAAAACAAAAGTGTTTTAACAATAAAAAAGCGCCAAAACATTGTAACAAGCGTCTGCTAAAATATATCAGAGATTAAGAGAAAGAGCTTTTAAAATTCTATTAATTTAAAAATTTTTGTTTTTCACATATTCGAAATATAATTAATGCGTATAATTTCGTGATATATATAATCTTACTCTTTCTCCGAAAATTATGCAATCTCAAGGAATAAATTCGTTAATGCAGTTTATTATTTTTAAATTCAGACATTTGCTAATAGTAAGATTATTATAAAATCATAATTGCTTAGAAATAGACTATAAATACAGTATTGCTAATTCTAATAGTAGGAATTGTTGGTCATTCTATTATTAGTAAATAATAGAATCACCAACAATTGAGCAACTGAAGAGAACTTAGCTAATGATCGCATCTTAGAACTTAATGAATGTCCTAATACGTCGAATCCATTAATGTTTACTATTTCTTCCTGTCTACGAATGAATATAGACTTATTTCATTTTAAATTGTCAGAACTGTCTGTTAAATGTCATAAACGGAAAAGATGTTCCTCTAAGGATTTATAATATTATTTTATCTAAAAGAATTATAGAATTCTATTATATTCTCTATAATAATATACAGCGGATAACCGTACAACGCGGGGAATACGTTCCGTGTTATAGGAAGGAAACCTGTACCCCTGAATGACAAAATTTGAATTTTGCATGAGTAGTAGTTGCAATTTTTTTGTCGCATTATACGAGTTTGCGTTATAGGGGAGCGCTTTACGGTTGTATTTATAGGGGAGCGCTTTATACACTGTATTTGTATCTGAACACTGAAAAGCGAACATAAATTTATATCAGCCACGAAGATAGTAGCATCATCTAATAGAAAACATTATTCATTAAGTTTACTTTAAATAAAGAATGATAAGATTAATTTCATATGTAACATTCTTCTTCATAACTTTATTTATATTAGGCTTTCGCCTGTTACTAAAGGTGGAATAATGTGATACATAGCATTACATAATTTCATAAGCAATACAATAACAGTCTATACATTCTCATAATTAAAGTATTAACAGAATTACAGAATCAATATATTAAATTGATTAACAATAAAAAATCTCTGAGCATAATTATATAGATTATATATAGTAGTCTTTTTAGCTTTATGAAAGAACAAATACATAGAATCCTCGCTATGTTTTAAAAATAAAGTCTCAATATTATATCTTTTCCGTAACTCTTGAGTTCTATTACAAGAACAAGTACAAAACAAATGAAGCTTAGACATGGCAACATTACAACTTATACAAAAAAGTTTAGAGAATTGATAGATAGTTTTATTAATCAGAATAATTTCTCTATTTAATCTTAATTGAATAAAGAACTTTTTGACATTGAAGGATAAATCAGAACCAGTATAATTATTGATGTCTGGATAATTCAGAATAATATTATAACAAATAGAGTTATTATGACTTTTAACATCATGTATATCTTGAGATAGAGAGATTTCAAAAGCATTCTTAATCAGTTGAACATTATATATTTCATTTAAATCTGTATTATATATAAACGGAGTTATTGAGAACCCATACATATTAAATACAGTAGACACTTGATAAACCCAATTTGGTTTAGACTTATCATTAAGCGATTTATTATATAATAATTCCAACAGTAGAAAAGGTAACGATCCATTGTCTCTCAATCGACTCAAAAATTTAACATATCTTCTCATGAAAAAAGGGCCCAATTTGAATCTATACAATTCAAGACGCAACACCGCTCCAGAGATATTAAAGTCTAATGAAAAGACTTTCCGTATAAATTTATTTTGAATAATTTCCAATTTTTTAAAGTACAAAGGACTCCAAATAGGTGCAGCGTATCCACATGAATTTAAAACAGTGGAAGAGAATAATCTGAATTGAACTTTTATATTACGAATTTTTAATTTAACAAATAGTTTAACTAAATTGTTGATCAAGGTAGAAGCTTTAGTTTTTACTTTCTTGAATTGTTTTTCGAACGACAAAGTAGATGTGAACATTATACCCAGAAATTTCATCTCTGAGACAATTAAAAGCCTTTCCTGATTAAGAAAAAAAGACATATATTTTTTTGATAAATTGGTACCATTTCGAAAGATCATTACATAAGATTTTTTTGGGTTAATTTTTAAATTAGAGTCTTCACAGTATTTTTCCAAAGCTTTGATTTTTCGTCGAAGTGCAGCTGCAGTCGGCGCTAATACAACAATATCATCAGCGTATGATATGGAATGAACTATCTGATCTGAAAACCAAAAACCATCATTGTCGTTTGTAAAACACTCATTTAGATCATGTAGATAAAAATTAAACAGATAGGGAGACCATGGGTCCCCTTGTAGCAATCCTCGGTTTATTTTTATACTTGACAATATGGTATTATTTTGTTTTATGTTTATATCATACTGACCAAACAACAAACCAACTGCATTAATCAGTTTAACCTCTGCTTGACATTTAAACATTTTATTTTGTAACTTAGATATTGAAACAGAATCATATGCTTTTTCTAAGTCCAAAAAAAGGGCGAATACTTTATGTCGCTTTTTTAGTAGTTGTAGTTGTATTATTGCCGTAAGTACAAACAATGTTATAAGAGTACCACCATCTTTGTTAAAGGCATATTGAGTACTATTTTTATATCCATTTATATCTATCCATTCATTAAATTTTGACGATAATATAGATGTATATAGTTTCCGTAAGCCAGATAATAAAGCAATCGGTCTATAGTTGGCTGGTTGACTTTTATCTCCCTTTTTAAAAATCATATATAAAATTACTTTATTCCAATTATTAGGTATTATAGATTGATTATATAAATCATTAAATATTCTGGCTAAATACTCAATCATTGACTTAGAAAAATTCTTTATTATTGAATTTGTTATATTATCGTAACCTGGGGCTGTATTTTCTTTCAGTTTATTAATATGAGAGTACAAAATTTCCGCATTAAACATATCTCCATTTGATTGACTGTTTTTTTCTTCTTGAAAGATCGTATGCACTCCATTATAAATTGAATAGCAATGTGAAAAATCACTAAAATACTTATGCCAAACATCATAAGAGATAAATGAGTTATTAATACTCTTGGTATCTATACGAAATCTATTTATAGTCTTCCAAAACAATTTAGAATCCTTTTGACCAATTAGTAGTTCACTGACTGAAGAACAGTATTTAATCTTTTTGGCCTTAACTATGTTTCTATAAATTCTTTTGTTAAGCAAATATTGTTTTAAATCGTAATACGAATTAGACCTTCGAAATTTCTGTAAGCTTCTTTGTTTCTTAATTTTGTAGTAGTAGCATTTTTTATCATACCAAGATTGTTTAAATCTATTAATTATGTTATTTCTATTACTTTTAAAAAAGAAAGATTGTAGTAAATCCATTAGCTTGTTATAGTTTCTATATGGATCGTTAGTCATTTCATATAGTATTAATTCTTCGGAAATAAATAATAATTCTTTCTGAAATTTATGTAAATTAAACTTGGGTCTTAGTTGTTTCACAATATCAGAAGAACTATGAGATCCTTGGTTTAAGCCAATAGTTTGCTTATTCCCTTTTAACACTAAGTTCACAGGAAAATGGTCTGATAAATCTAGTTCAAGAATTTCCATAAACAGGCATTGATCCACCATAGCTTGAGAGCATATAATATAGTCAATAGTAGATTTTCCATTATGTGAAATAAAAGTGAATTCAGCCGGACAGTCTCCTATAATTCTACCATTCAGTATAACTAAATCATTTTCCTGGGAAAAGTTTAATAATGTAGAAGAATCTTTAGAAAGAAACTTATCTTTCGATAGTCTTTTATTATATATAAGGTCACTATTACCTTTATACTTTAAATCCATAGAATTTCCTATACGAATATTAAAATCACCACCAACAATCCAAAAATTTATAACATTGATCCATGGGTTGATAAAATTTTGTAATTCTTTAAAGCATGTTATTTTTCTTATAGAAGGAGAAATATAAACCAAAATTAGTCCAATTCGTGTTTCTCCCCAAGCTATTTGTAGTGACCGATTAACATCTATTATCAGAAGAATAAAGGAATTAGTAGTATAATATGAATGAATCACACCAAATGATTTTCTCACCATCAACAGAAGACCACCAGAAGGGCGTCCAAATCTGCTGGACCTCAGAGCCTTGCCGACCACTATTGTATATTCTTTATCAAACTCTTTCTTATCTTCTTCACATAAATCCTCTATCCATGTCTCTGTAAACCCGATGACAGATAATTGTTTTGTATATTTTTTAACATCAGGATTGTTAATTTTATCGCGAATTCCCTGTATATTCCAAAAACCAAATTGAATTTTAACAATATCCTCAGTACATGCTTTAATATTGGAGCAATAATTGTTAGCAATGTCAGTCTCAACCTGAGTATCAGTACTTTTATTAACTTCATTATTTACATTCTCCATATTAGTACTATTGTAGGTTAGAACCATTTCTAAGTTAGTCGCCTTGGATCTAGAGAGATCAAACGACTCTATTCTAAAAAATCATCCAACTGAATAACTGAATTACTATTAATATCATAAGTGAAAATATTTTTCCCTTGGATGTAATAATCATCTCTAACAATAATTTTGTTTCCTTTTATTTTTTCTTGTTTGATTATAGGCATTAATTTCTTCCTTCTCAGTCTGGATCTTCTACATATATCGGTGGTGAATATTACATTTTTATATCTCTCATTGTTAAACTTAACTCTCGATTTCCAAAATTTACTTAAAATAAGATTTCTGTTATGTTCACCATCTACTGATATTTTAATCATTGGGTTAGTATCTTTATCTCTTAATTTAATTAATGTTTCAACTGAACAGTTTTCTATTTCTAAAACATTTTTAATAAAGAATTCTATTTCATTTATATAATCAGTATTCAAAAAAGGAAAATTTATAATGACAATGTTATTTTTTGTTTTTTCATTAACCAATTTATCCAGTTCAAATTCCAACGTACCTTTTAGCTGACTATTATGTTTCACTAGCACATCTAGTTTTTTCATTTCCTGGGATAGCATCTGCAACTCCTCTTGATATCTCTTATTTTCCTCTTTCATACATTGCAATTCGTTTTTAATGTCATGGATATCATGGTTTAGCTGAGAAAAATTGGACTGCAACATTTCATATATTGATTTTAAGGAATATTGAGAGTGAGGTTCTACCTGGGGTTCCTTAAGAGATGATGGTTCAAAATATTCTGAAATTTTCGAAGATTTCAACGGGCCGGAGTTATATCCAGCAGATTCTTCTTCCAAATGAAATAATTCTCCACATAATGTTTCTTCTTCTGAGCATTCAGAATTAAAAACTTTAACATTCTCTTTACGAGGTCGACCTCGCCCCCTCTTTTGCATATCTAAGCGGACATTTTCTTGAGGTGAACGGGATAAAGGACCTGGATTAGGTTCTATTCCGGCCATTAACAGCAGACAGATAATCAATTTTAACATTAAACTATACTCAGTTTTCTCCATTTGAATACTATATCCACTCTATAACTTTAAAATATATGTATTAGATTATAGGAGACATTAACGAGCATCCACAAAAAAAGTTCGCCAGCAGCCTCGACGGTCAGCGCCCTATTTATATTAATAAAGCTATTTAATTTATGATTTATGAATGTGTGTGTGTGTGTGTGTGTGAAATATGTAAGAAAATGTATTATGCTTTTTATAATTTAATTTGCATTATTTTTGTAATTCTAATTTTATGAAGTTAAAACAAATTATATATTAAAATTTTGGGTGTTGTTGATAAATATATGGCATTTAATATCATTTCTTGGTATTAAATTTGGTTTTGTTGTAGTTAATATGCAATTTGCCAAAAATGAAATAAAATATGTAAATATTTCAGTTATCATGATAATTTAATTTCAAAAAATATTGTTATATATTATTATAAATTCTAGTTTGCAATGATTTGTTAATTACTACATGTAACTTAGTCATGGTTTATTTAAATAAATATATTAAAATTATTTGAATTTCAGAAGATCAGGATGATGGACAGAGTGAAGATGGAAGTTTTCATGATGGAGATGGTGATGTAGATGCTGATATGTTTAGCTTGAGCCAGAGTCAACCTATAGATGTAAATTTATAACTTTAGAAAGCATTTAAAATATTAAGTATTTAATTTTGTGGTGAAATATTGCTTTTAAAGGAGGAGAATGATGAAGTAGATGATGTTGAAGGAATAGTATCCACTAGTGAAGAAGAAGTAGGTCATCTTTTTGATGAAAATCAGGATGTTGCAATTGTAACATCTGCACCAAAGCATATATCATGTCAGGAAGATGAAGATTTTATGACTGCTTTTGATAAAATGTTATCTGAAAGCATTTTAGTAAGTAAAGTAGTAAAATATTTTTAATATTTCTAAAATTATCATATTTACACCCATACCTCTCTTTACGGTCTAGATACGTTCCACGAAACTTGGCTGCAAAGCAAAAAGCCGTATAAGGAATCAATTATTCTAATACAAATTCAATGGGATCGGTTCCAAATTTGTTAAATATGTAACATGGTTTATCATTCAAAATGCATTTTATCTTTTTATTTCATTTAAATCAAAAATACATACATAAGAAGTACATAAAATAATAACAGACTCTAAAAACCAACAATAATCTATAAACAAAAATGAAACAACTTCATGTTACATAAAATATGTGTATGTTTACATGCATAATTTTTTTTAAATGGCTTTAATCTGAAGATGATGAAGAAATGGTAACCTGCAGATCACTGTCGTCATCATTTTTTGCTGGTAAGGATGGGCCTGGCTTAAAAAAATTGTCCACCGTTGTTTGTCTTGCCTTCTTGTCTATTTCGTTCTTCAGTGATTTATAACAGCTAATGGCTGAATTAATTCCTCGAGAAACTTTAGCGCTACGTTCAACGTCAGGATCGTTTTCAAAGAGGATGTTTATTCCTTGTTCGAAACTGGAAAAAGCTTTTGACAAAGTTTTTGATGTTAGCTGTTTGGATACAACAGGCTCTGTCTCTTCATCAAATGCCAGTTCTGCTTGCAACTGAAAGAGTTCCTCATATGAAAGGGGTTCCCTATCAGCTTCAAGTAGATCAAGCACATCATGTTCGTTCAAACCTTCAAAGCCGAGATCATGTGCTAGATCCAAAATGTTTTGCCTGATTTCAGGAAGGAAATTAACTTCTGCATCAGTACTTTTTACACATTCTGGTCATATTTTTTTCCAAACATGGTTCATTGTTGTTAATTTTAATTCCTTCCATGATTCACTGATGCTGTCAACAGAATCCTTGATGTTATAGTTTTTCCAAAATGTTTTAATTGAAGATTTACCATCGGTTTCCCTTATAAGTTGTTGGAAAGTTCGGCGTAGGTAATATGCCTTAAAAGTGGCTATTGCACCCTGATCCATTGGTTGGATCAGTGCTGTTGTATTTTTTGGAAGGTACTCAATCATGACATCTTCAGATAGTTTGGATAAATTAGTACCCTGGTGCATTATCCAAAATTAGCAAAGCCTTGTTGCTTAAGTTATTGTCTCGCAAATATTTTTTCACTTCTGTACAAAAGTGATTTTTGAACCAATCCTCAAAAGTAGCTTTAGTCATCCAAGCTTTCTTGTTGGATCTCCATATGACGGGTAATTGATTTTTATTTAGTCTTCTAAGAGGCCTTGCATTTTTGGACAAATATATAAAAAGTGGTTTTAGCTTAAAATCACCCGCGGCATTTGCACCAAGTAGCAAAGTTAATCGTTCTTTAGACACCTTATAACCAGGCGCAGATTTTTCGGTTTTTGAAATGTACGTGTAATCAGGGATTCACTTCCAATAAAGCCCTGTTTCATCTACGTTAAACACTTGTTCAGGTTTATAACCACCTCTTTCAATAATTTCCTTTAAAATGTTGGGATATTCCTTAGATGTGGTCTCATCAGCACTAGCTGCTTCACCTTTCATTTTCAAATTATGCAAATTAAATCTATTTTTAAATTTTTCAAACCATCCTCGGCTTGCTTGGAATGTGACATCTTCAGCAGATTCATCGGTATCTCCGTTCTTCAAATTTTCGAAAATACTTAAAGCTTTTTCCTGGATAGTCGTTTGACTCATTGGCATTCTCCGTTTGTTATTGTCCTCAATCCATATAATCAATAGTTTTTCCATTTTTTTCCATAATCCAGTTTTTTTGGCTTGTTAATCTCGAGACATTTAAAGGTGCAGCAGATTGCAAATATGTTTTAATATCTTTTTTTTTTATCGTGACTAGTTTGAATGGTAGATTTCACAAGTCCCATTGCCTTGCAAATTTCAACAATTTTCTCTCCAGCTTCTATATGACGTAATACTTCTAGTTTAGTTCCTAGTGTGACTGATTTTCGGCATTTCTTTTTATCAGTCTCTGAAGTCGATAATCATCTCAGTGGCATTTTGTCTAAAAAATAATGAAATTATAAAATAAGTTTAATAATGATAATAGATAATACTCAATTTATTTATTTCAATTGGCAGATACTTGTAACGTCACTGATAAATGTAGCTTAATGTGTAACAATCAGTAATAAATATGTACATAAAACACTCACAGACAAGTCTAAACCAGCCGCTTTATGAGCACACACTGAATAATGCTCGTAAACAAGAGGAAATAGAAAAGAGTGTGCATCAAGATTGCGCTTGCGCAAGATTGGCAACATGTAGATATATCGACATCGAAAAAAAGTTTTTTTTGCCGTTATAGCGAAACATTTTAGGTCGTAAATCGAAAATGTGCCTTAATTGAAGAGGGCCGTTATAGCGAAATGCTGTATAAAGAGCGGCCATATAGCGAGTTATGGGTGTATTTGGTTAATTTTAAAGATGATGACTTACTACAGACAATAAGTTTATAAATTATTTTTAAAACTAGATTAATCAAATTATTTTAGGTGCATTTATTTATTCATTTTGATTCTCATTTGTTACAAATTTGTTTCAAATTATAATACTGAATCATTATTCAGTATTATAATTTTAAAAAATATTTTTAAATCTGCTTTAAAATAAAATAAACATTGAGTAGAGAGACTGATTTATCAAAACTTGTTAGCATTTCCCTAGGAACTCTTAAATTTCTTATGAATCCTAAAAATTTCCTTTAATGTTTAAAACAATAATAATTTGATCCTTTAATTTGTCATTGATTTTGATGCATTACTGTTTATCTTTCATTTCAAGGTTAATTAACAGAGACTAAGTGCTTGTTTTATTATTTTTTGTCATATTTTATTTTATTGCTAGATTAAAGTTTTTCTTTTTATAAACCATTGTTAGTGATTAANTCTAGTGCTACTTGTTCATAGATAGCACATATAATTGAATTAAGTCGTATACCGAACAAAAGTCGTACACCAAGCAAAATTTGTTTCATCCAAACAGGACGTATTCCGAATTGGACGTATTCTAAAGCAGACGTATACCGAGGTACCACTGTATATCAAACTTTTGTGATATGCATTTGTAGAACATTTAAATAGTCATCAACAAAGAATTTTTTAGCTCATTTTACACAGCTAAAATTAACAGAGCATTTAACATAAAAATTTGATTTAAATAAAACTATAGATACAGATAATTTTGCCTAATTGTAGAAATTAATTCAGGATAACTTATTTATGTGACAAATAATACGTCCAAGATTATACAATAAATTTTTAATTTGTTTTATTCTGCTTTTTAGCATCGCAGTCAAGATTCTATCAAGCCACAATCTGATATTGTTATTCCTATGAATATAAAAGGTGGCACAGGAAAAAAATCAGGTAGTTATATTTTCACATCTATAAGTATAGTCTATTGTATATACAGGGATGTAGCCAGAAATTTGAGTGTTGGCTAACATAAGTAGATAGGCTACCATAAAAATGTCTTCAATTACTAGCAACACATTTATTGTACATACTGACAACTGCATTTGCATGTCATATGTAAACTAGTGATACACATGATAATACTCAATAAAAAAAAAAAGGTCAAACAAGGATAAGTATTAAATTTTCTTTACCTTGTAGCAGTTCCTGTAGCTTTGTATTTTAATCTGATAAGCATACTTTTCTATTTCATTTATTAGTCAATTGCTTGTGAGAGTCTTTGTTTCTACTGCTATTTACTTGTAAATTCAAATGGTTATGGCAGAGAGTTAGGATTGTAATTACTGTTTCATATAGCTACATGCCTGTGTATATATACAGTCATGAAATTTATTATCAGTCATTTAATGTTATCAAAATTTACATGTCCTAAATACACAAGAAATGTCACTTACTGTAATCAGAGTTCAGTTAGTTATTTTCTTCATATAAATAGGCATTTTTAATGTAGTAAGCCAACAACTACCAGATTATATCGGGCTACTATATCGTGATTATTTAAATTAATCACTAAATAATTTGTCACTAGAGGGAGGCATTAGGCACCACCTTTTATTAAATTTAATAATTATAATTAAATTAAATAATTTAGAAAATTCTGGAAGAAATGAATCAGTCCAGAGCAGGACTTGAACTCACAACTACTACTTACCATGCAGATGTGTTGCCAGTTATGCTACCTGAGCATCCAGTCCAATCTCCTCTTCCAGATATATTTAAACATGAGATAACCATCCCCAGTTATATATGTTGGCTTAGACATTTTTAATTGTGGTTAATGTGAAATCATCATTGGTTATTGTTACATCTTAACATTAATTGTTTTAAACCACTGGTTAAATATTTAATCATTATTATTTGTTTGCAATATGATAGTTTAAGTTTGTGGCATTTCTTACTTTTCTATTGTTAAAGGTGGTAGCAGGCAAACAATACTAGGTGAATTAAAAATTATATAACTTGAAAACTTAATTAATATGTAATTGTTTTAATGTCAGTCAATAAAAATTTCCACTAATGTTACTTAATGTTATCAGTTGATTATTAGCTTCAGTATGGATTAATCCCAAATTGATTATAGTAATTATATATATTTTTAATTAATTCTAAGTAATGCATACCTTTCAGGAGGAATATTGCTGAATTTGAAGCCTGAAGATGAAAATAACAGAGAAAATAGTACAATGAATTTTGTATTGATGACCAGAAGAGGAAACAAGCAACAGGTAAATAAAAATTATGTTTAAAATATTACAAAGTAATTCACTAATGTTATCTTGCATAAGGTTTTGATTTAAGAAATTTTTTGAAAAATTTGATATTTGTAAAGTGTTGATATAAGATTTGAAGACAGCAATTGTAAAATTTAACTTCAAAAAAGTTTCCTCGTTATCTTGTAAAAACAAAGTTTCATTGAAAATCACTTGGTAATGGAATCAGATTTAAGAGTATAATACATTACATTTGCTTGATACTTGTTACGCATCAGTGTTTGTGTGAAAACTTGAGTGTCTCAGACCATTTATTTTTCTGTTAATTTTAGATTACTAGCATTACAAGTCCAAGTATTCTGTTTTTTTATTAACATTATCTTGCATATTTCGTTTGTGACTCTGAATGTGCCAAATTTTCTTAGAAACTGACTACAAATTGAATGTAATCACAAAACTTTCCAAGCATATACAGTGGAACCCCGGTTAACGACCAAATTGGTTAACGAACTTTTATTTTGCAAAAATTTTCTCTCAGTTAACGAACGTAACGGTATTTTGTGTCAAATTTTAGTTGGTGTTAGGCATGCGCGAGCTAAGCATTGCTTTTCCGAGTGTTTGTGCTATATTTCTTTTTTCAGTTTTGTGATTTATATATTTAATCAATATGGCATCCAAGAAAGAAAAAAGTCATAGTTGCAATAGAAAACGACAACGCAATATAAACGACAATGCATTTGAGAAAAATTTTGATTAAAAGAGTAAGACAATCAACATTAGATCAATTTCTTGTTTGTTTGTTTGTTAAGTTATGGCAATGCAACACTTGGGTGATCTGCCTAGGAGGAATGCCTTCTGGGAGGTGTTTTTAAGGGAAACTGGCCCCTATTTAGGTGTTACAGACATGGAAAAAACTGGAAAACTCCACGTAGCCAGACTGTCTGAGCGAGGTGCGAACCCATGACTGAACTCCCCGTGTTGAAGGTATGAAGACCACTTAGCCCGCTGGTGGGTTTTTTTACCGAAAGAGACTTTGAACTCGAAGAATCTTCCAATGAAGTGCTACCCATTATTTCTTTGGAGAGAATTCCCCTTCTAAGCATTAAGATTCGTATATCTCCACTTTTCTGCCACCAACTACAACAAACGAAGGTATGTACAGTGCTATTTTATTAAACAAAGTTTACATGTTTGTTGCTGTAATGATAGATACTACATTTTCCTACATTTTCATCAAAGAAAATTACTGTATATTACAAATAAAATCATAAAAATTTCGGAGACTAGAACGGATTAATTGCATTTGCATTAATTTCTATGGAAAAAATTGCTTCGGTTAACAAACAATTCAGTTAATGAACAGAGTCGCGGAACGGATTAAGTTCGTTAACTGGGGTTCCACTTACTAATAAGAAGTGACTTTCAACTTGTAATTTCAATATATAAGATTTATTGTAGTTTATCTTAACAGTGTCCATTCAATTACCACAGAAACTTAGACACATTTATTGCTTAATAGTGCTCAATAACAAGCATTTCACTGTGAATTCTGAGAATGTGTGTAATTTGAAAAATTGAATATTAATATTTGTTATATAATGTTAAATCATATTGGCATATCAGAATTACAATACAATCAATAAGAATTAATTATGATAGTTTTGAGTTTGTCTCAATTCACAATTAATCTGTTAATACAATATCTATGTTTAATGTGTGTTCTAAATATTTGAATTTAAATTATGAAACAATTTTCTAAAAACTTTTGTATTTATGCTAAGTAAGTGATAAAAAAAAAGTTTTAAGAAAATTTTGTTCTGAAAACAGTAGTTAGCTTGAATTGTTAATCTTTTTCCCTCATATTTTAACTTAGGAATATTTTAAACTGTTCCTTTCAAAAGAAACATAAGATAATTTCTTAACTAAGTGCAAGATAAATCAAATTTCATTGAAAAGCACCATCTTATATGCTATAACTTTTTTAATTTTTGAAATATAATTTATAGTTCAAAAGCTTGGAAGTACCTGTAACTTCAGAATTAGCCCAAAATTTGAAAGACAGGGAAGAGGTAATTAAGTTTTACACATATTAAACATGTAATTTTGTTATTTTATCTTAATACAAAAGTAATTATTTTATAGGCTGAAAGAGCGGAGAAAGAACAAGTTAAAAAATTAACTTTAGATATTAATGAGAGACAAGAAGAAGAAGACTATCAAGGTAATTAATTTGATTAAAAATAATAAATATAATATTTTTTTCTACTAAATATATGGCTTTTCTCAAATAGAGATGTTAGCTGCACAGCAGAGACCTGCAGTCATGAATCTGAACAGGGACAGGCGTCAAAAGTATCATCATCCCAAAGGTGCACCAGATGCCGACTTGATATTTGGAAACAAGTAAGATATCGATGCGCCCGTGTACCGTGTCGGTATAGGAATATCTCAACGTACAAAAAATTGTGCAAAGGGACAATGATTTTTACAAAAGTAATAAAAAAATGCGTATTTATTTTAAAAGGTAATAACATATCAAAGTTTCACCAAAATGATGTAAATATTGTAATAACATTTTCCAATGGCCAACAGTGTCAATAAAAATTTTGAAGAGTGTCGTTAAAGCTTATATGACACAAACATATTTTTCCACAGAGTCAAAAATAAGTCTATTTTAATGTTAAATGTAAAGTTGAATTTTCTTTTTTTATGCAATATGACTACTATAAAGAATTATTATCAGGGTGTTTAGCATTGTTAACTGAACAAATTTTTATTTACACAGAAATGAAAATTCATTCAGTTTACTATAATTATTGAGAAAATTCTCTCTTATAAGAAATTAAACTAATGATCCAGTCCCTAGAGAACTGTGTGAATGTATTTAATAAAGCCATTCTTGTAAAATAAAATATTATTAGTTTTAAATTTATTTGTGATTTGTATATAAGTTATATTAAAATTATATTGCTTATTATAGAGTCTTGCATCAGATTTAAAAACTGCATATTGTATTATTAATTTATATATGTTCTTTATCCTATTTTGTTTAGTCCTTTAATAAAAACTTTTACTTGGATCATTATTTATTCTATATTATTTTTGTTAATACTTTAATTTTTCAAAAACATCTGATATAATTCACATAATTTTAACAGAAAACTAGTTTCTATTTCCAAATTATGTTTCCAAAAAAATTTAGGTTGAACAGAAGAAATGAAAGTACCAATTCTGTCACGGTCTACAGTGACAATTCTGTCTCGTTAACTCTTGCTCCGATGCAGAACTCTACGTATAAAATGTAATTACAATATTAGAATTTAAAATGAGGCACAAAAACCACATCTCCAGTCAATGTAATTACTTGAATACTTTCAGAAAGCACTGACGGGTTAACTGAAAGAATAAACTCGATACAGTCCGAGAGAATGTTCTCGTCTCTCGGTCGGTTCTACCGTCCTAGTGAATGCCGAAGGATTTCGTCAGTTACGAGTCGACAGAAATGAGCGAGATAACTACAAATACTCTATTTATACTTTTAAAGTGTTTTTGCACCCAAAGTTTCTGTATGTTTAAATGGACAGAAAAATAAAGCTATTTATGTTGTATGGCAGCTATAATTTGATTCTGACATACATATAGTACTAATCAGGACTTACTTGTTAGAACTAAAAACAGAAAATAATTCATGTTAATCTAGAAACTAATATTTTTGTTTTTACTCTTTTCAGTATTTCATTCAGTAGATTTGCATAAAAATAAATTGGTTATTCCACACACATCATGATGACACATTAGTTAAAATTTAGGACTGCAAAGGGTTAATCATTTGCAGTCTATTCCCTGCCTGTTCTGGTCCAATTTAATTTGAAAGCACTTTTCTATGAACACAGTAATGGTTATGTATGACATTAAACATATATTCTTATGTATGTTAGGACATTAAAGTGTGTTTTACATAATTGTTATAATGGAATTGCATATAATTTCTATAACATGCTGGAATCCTAAAAATCTTCAAGAAAATTACATATGCAACAGATTAAATCTTTAATTACATCTGATTTTATAGTCACTGAAACTGGTACCTTTGCACACTGCTATGAACCTAAATTGAGCAGTGGATATGAAGTTCATTATAAAATAAGCTCATAGAATATGATACTACCATCTATCAAAATTTACAAAAAATACTAGTTGTTTCTTATTTGCTCAAAAGAGGGTAGTACTGCTAGTTAACTTATTATGTCAAGCAGTGTTTGCTAACAGAATGATGGCAAAATTGTTTCCAATTTAAATTTAATAATAATTATTATGCTTATGATTGCAATTAATAACATATAAAATAAATTTTCAATACATCAAAATTTTACAATTTCTATATAAATAATTCAGTTTTTCTTTTTCAACTTAAATCATATTTATGTCAATTCGTTTACCTTTAGAAGTCCTATTTTTTCACAATATGATGACAAACATTATTTTATGATGATTTAGGTATGAATCTGATAAGAATTTTTATATGCTTAATCTCGAGCAGAATTTATTTTATATAAATTCTGCTCAAGATTGAGATTTGATATTGAAAGTACAGGACAATAGAAAAAACCTCACTATCAATTATTTTCACTTAGTCATTTATAAAAGACATTACATTACACAGGATTAATGTTATGTTAGTCATGGATCTGTTGAATAATTATCATCGAGGTTTTTTAAAGTATAATATTGAAGAATGCTTTGAAGCATTACTGAATAATATATAATATTAATTATATTAAATATTTTTTTTTTAATTGTGGCTCATTCAATAAATTTCTAAATGGGCCTTTTTTACTCATACAGGAAATAGAGTGAGCATTTTAACAAAGGAAGAAAAATCAATTGCAGAAACAGTTTAGGAAGGTCAACGTATGTTGAAAAGGTAGTTAATGCATAACATCAATTGTAGAAGTGGGCTGCATGGCAACCCAACTCATACAAGTGGCTTACAAGAGAAGGGTCAGACGTTTGGGTCTCCAATTTGAACAAAACTTGGTGAGTGTGTAACCTTAAAAACGGCTCCTTGTCGTAATAATAGGATCCATTTCTCATGCATATCCGATAAAAAAGGGGGGCTTCTGAAAACTCCGTGTTTAGTTTGTGTTTGGAAGTTTCAGGTCCCCTCAGAACGGCAATAGTCAAGTGACTGAGATGCTAGGCACTGCAGCTACACAATATAGGTTTGAGCCTTTGCAATTTTAGTTTTCTTATGTGTAACATATTATTTTATTATTGTACAGTAGATACTTTGTTTTTGCTAAACAGGAAATGACATTGTAAATTTTAACCTCTTGTTTAAACAGGAGGAATAATAATAATAATAATGCTAATGACACTTTAAAATTATGTTACACATTAAAACCTGTATTACGTAGCTCCAGTACATAGCATCTTTTTGGAATGGCAATAGCCAAGTGGACGAGATGTGAAATTTCCAAACACATAAGTTAAACACTCATTTTCAGATGCCATTTTTTGGAAATACTCAAGAAGTGGGACCTGTTATTTTGATAAAGAGCTGTTTGTGTTTAGGACTACATGCTCAAATGTCCTTCGACTCAGAGACTCATAGGTCTGACCCCCCCTTGTTATATCTCCTAACCCCTATTCCTGTCACATTCATGTAGAAAGGTAGCACAAAGATAACTTTTTTTCCACTAGTTCTCATATATATATATTCTGAGTAAACACATTTCAGCAGGATTAAGAAGTATATATATATCAGACATGGGCAAATGCAGCTCTTGCCAAAACTGTTAATTTCTGCTTATTATTATTATTATTTTTACAATTTTATTTCCACAATTTTCTGAAAATATAATAGAAAACAAATATTGAATTTTTTTAATAAACATATTTATATTATATATATATATATATATGAACATGTATGTCCATATATTTCACTTTTTCACCAAAACTACACATCGCAACGTGAATGGTGTTTGTATGTGATAGTAGCCCCAAGTCTTTATTCGTGCATAGGGGTGGTTGCGTCTCGATAGCTATAAGGGTGCGGGAGATATAATCTTGAAAGTGGTTGAAAGTAGCTTTCCATTTCGAATGTTTTGTTCCAATTCGTTCGAATTTAATTCAAACATAAAATTCGAATATTGGTTCGATTATAGAACGATTGTAAACGTTCCAGAAACGTTGAAAATAGTTCGTTTNCGAATTGGTTCGATTATAGAACGATTGAAAACGTTCCAGAAACGTTCAAATTTGTTCGTTTGACTAAACGTAAAAAATTTCTAATTAGTCTGGAAACGGGAGACCTAATTCTTGCATTTTGTGAAAACGGGTAAGATTAGCTATGATGTAGTAATCTTAATTGTCACTATCGTTACTTTTTGCCCAGCGAAGCGGGTCTTGCAGCTAGATTCTAGATTACTTAGAAAAACAGTCTTTTATATATATATATATAAAACTATACTATTACATACAAATAAAAACCCAGCGAAGCAGGATCTTGCAGCTAGTTATATAATAAAATTGCAGTACAGAATAAAAAAGTACATAACTGTGGTTCCCATGCATTTTGCAAAACTTACATTTTGGCTCCCACTGAACTCTTGCTTGCCCACTCGATATGTATGAGAATGAGAACTAGTGGAAAAAGTCTTCTCTATATAGTTAATTGGGGGCCTCTGCCCATAAGGATTCCATATCTGGCCTTGTCTTTCATCTATGTAACTCCATTCTCGAGTTTAAGGAATGACAGTGGGGAATTTATGTCTACAATTTTTTCCAATTGTATGATGTTTTCTCCTAATACTGTAATTCATTCTATAAATCTGTAATGTTAAAATAATTGTGCAATCGATAATTTTGTGAGAAATCGGACTTCAATATAAACAATTTAATGTTTCACACCTGGGAGTAAATAATTTGTTAAGTTCTCAGCAGTGAAAGCGACGCTTTCCCACAACCTCCCAACCTACTATCTTGTCTCCAAGTCAACATAGCCAGAAACTGCAAGTTTAGGCAGTCGTCGCCAATCACTCTTGGATTAAAGTCATCAAAACTTCTTGTGTCAGTGCCAATCATACTTTGTTGGATTTTCATGTTACCTTCAACTGTGCGTAAAAGAATATTCGCGATCCAGACTGATCCAAATTCAAACCCTCAAGATCCTAATCTCATCCTCAAATCAAGAATCATCACCTTCAATGCAGGTATTTCCTGACTCGCGGACAATTGTAAACTCACTCACTCTCGCGATTGCTAGATAGATAGGTTAAGTCGATATATTGTATCATATATTCCTCTTCATTGAAAATAAATGGTTATTTAGTTGTTAACTTTCGTATCTGAGTACTTTGCTTCTGGTACACTGTCTCTCAACCCATCTCCATCCCAGATCCAATCACCTCTGCATGCAGCCGTTTGCATGACCGAATCAACATGCCATCTTGGCTTCCATGTTAATCGGGACGTGGTGGTGTCAGTCCTGATGAGGCACTAAAGAGGTGCGACCCTCCGGTCACAATTTGATGTTTGAAATTTGGAATTGTGAAAGACAACAAATAATTCTCCTTTCACACACACACACACACATATATATATATATATATATATCAGTATATATATATATATTGGGTTGTTCAGAAAGTTCATTTTTTATACCACTAGACGGATTAGTGGTATTTTTCCCGCCATTTTCGTTCTAAATCGTATTATCATTATATATTTTGACAGCTAGCATTTTATGGCTTATTTGTAAAAAATTTTGTTTGATTTTGTGCAATTGTTTATTTTTTGTGTCCCATCAAATATGGAAGATCGAAAGCAGCATTTTCGGCATATTTTGCTCTTTTATTACCGAAAAGGTAAGAATGCTGTTCAAGCGAGAAAAAAATTGTGTGACGTGTATGGAGAAGATGTATTGACAGAACGACAGTGCCAAAACTGGTTTACAAAATTTCGTTCTGGCAATTTCAATATTGAAGATGCACCACGTTCTGGATGGCCAGTTGAAGCCAATGAAAACAAAATAAAGGTACTGATTGAAGCAAACTGCCGAATAACAACACGTGAAATCACTAAGAGATTAAATTTGTCAAATTGAACTGTTTATGATTACTTGAAACAAATTGGTTTCGTTTCAAAGCTTGATATATGGGTTCCACATGTTCTTAAAGAGAGATGCTCTCTTTGGTGGGATTTTAAGGAAATTTTTTTTTGGAGCTTTTACCAGACAATTTAACAATTGATTCGAAAGTGTACTGCCATCGAGTAAACAAATTGAGTAATATCATCAAACAGAAAAGGCGGCCAGAATTGATCAACAAAACAGGTGTAGTGTTTTACCACGATAATGTCAAATTTCACACAAGTTTGGTAACTCGTCAGAAACTGTTATAACTTAGATGGGACGTGCTATCACACCAACCATATTCGCCAGATCGAGCACACTCAGATTATTACTTGTTCCGGTCTGTACAATTTTTTTTAACTGTAAGACATTTACTTGAAATGACAATGTCAAAAATCACTTGGATCGGTTTTTTGTAAGCAACGATCAAAACTTTTATGAATGTGAAATCGTGCTACTACCAGAAACAATGACAACAGGTATTTGACCAAAATGGTCAACATATAATTCAATAAAATATTTATTTATCATAAGAATATTGCATTTTTTTCCACGGAAAAAAAAACAAACTTACTTTCCGAACAACCCAATATATATATATACTTGTAATTTTATATACTGTGTGTGTGTGTGTATATATATATACATACACACACACACACACACACAGTATATAAAATTACATGTATTTATTTTATCAATCATTCAATAAATTGGAGCTCTATTTTGGATCACTTGAACAATTATATATAATTGTTCAATTGATCCAAAATAAAGACCTCCAATTTATTAAATGATTGATAAAATAAATACATGTAATTTTCCATTAATATATAAGAATACAGTGTAATGATAGTAAATTAATGGATCCCTCATCATTTATTATCTACACAAATGTGACATATATTTATTTTTTTTTACATTATAATTTTTTGAAGATATTTTGCTAATTATTATATGTAAAAATGAATGATGTAATTATTATATGTAAAAATGAGAAAAGTGAGAGATTACAACACAAACTCAAAAGTGTTGGTTTTAAAATTTTAAAATAAAATTACAAAAATACAGAAAACCAAAATCAATATATTAATGGGTCTAGAAATGATTTCAACAGGGTTGTAATATCAATATTTGCAATGAACTTTTGTTATAATAAACTTAAAAACTCTTGGTTTAATATGTATGCAAGTGCTATAAATACATCCTTTTATAAATAAACAAGTTTGTTCCAATAACTTACTGCCTTGGATTTCATTAGTTCAGAATACATTGCTAGGCAAATCTTGCAATATTTGGCAACACATTGCAATGAAGTTCATTCAGAAAGGTTTTTTGGAGAATTTCCTGGAATTTGTTTTTCTTACATTGTACGTCTTGCATTTAAAAGCAAATTGCCTTTGGCTGTTTATATTAATTAATCCTTTCAATGCTATATTTCCCAAAACAGGAAAGTTTCCATAGAAGGCTTGATAAAGAGGGTAAGGGAATACTTTAATATCCCATTATCTGAATGCAGTGTGGAGATATATCCAACAATACAAACATGAGCTGTACAAATCCAAGGGAATCCTCTCACAAATGAATCGTGCTAGTACAATGTTTGGCTTGGGCCAGAACTCATCTGAAGTGGACAAAAGTTGATGGGAAGAAAATACTGTGGTCGGATGAATTGAAATTTCTTGTAAACTGTGGGAATATAGGAAGACTGTCATTCTTACTAAAGACGAAGCTAATAATCCAGCACTGGCTTCTGGATTCATCCTGAATAATGTCTCTAATGGTTTGGGGATGCATGAATGCAGAGGAAGTTGGGAATTTGCATTTCTGCAATTGTGCTGTGAACTGTAAAGTCTATATTATAATCCTTCGGTAACATCTATGCAAATCAAAACAAACTTTTCCAAAGACGAGCCTGATTTTCCAGCATGACAACGCCTGTCCACACAATGCTAGGAAAACCAAAGCCTGGCTGGCTGCAGTCTAATCTTGTAAGTGTGCTCACATGGCCAGCATCAAGCCTGGACCTGACTCCAATAGAAAATGTATGGAGACTTGAAAGAAAGCTGACTTGACATCATCTTTGCAAATTAGAACAATTTTGTACATATTTAAGCAAAGAATGGGAAAAATTCCCACACAATTGTTGCACAAGTTTTATCTTCCATACCTCAATACCTTGAAACTCTTATAGTGAAAAGGTGATGCAATTCCATGGTGATTACAGAATCTTAACACATGAAAAAAATTCAAAGAAACGTGTTGCAAAGATACTCCAGATTATAAATTACCTATGTTAATAGCAACACATCAGAAGCTCATATTTTGAGAAAATGTGTTTGCACAATTTTTATTTTTGAAATGGAATCATACAAAGTAATTTTGTAAATGAATTATACTATGAATTATTTTACATTTTTATTAGTGAATGAAATTCATTGCAAGCAGAGTTGTAATACAAGATGGCAGCCTAACTGCCACTGCATAAATTCGCTCTTATTATGGCCCAAAGACAACCCGATCAATTATGAAATTGGGCTTTGTTATATTTTTGTAAAGAATGCCAACTTATAGTTGGCATTCTTTACAAAAATAATAAAGTACAAATTCTTCATTATTGGCTGAGATTACTTTTGATTTTTCTAAAGCAAAAAGAACTTCAAACAAATTGCAGCACAAAACCATTAAGAAAGAAAATAATAATGCACTGTACATAGAAAGACAATTCTATAAATGAAAGCAGAGTTGAGAGTTAATTATGTTTAACATAACAAAAAAAAATTTTTTATTTTTGAAAGCCATGGCAGAGCCTGATAAAGAATTCAGATTTTTAAAATATAGCTTATACTTTTATATAAAATTATTCATTTTTAAATAATCAATACAATTTCATATAAATAAATTTACATTTATAATCACACATATAGAGAACTATCTATAGCAGCCCAACAAGGTTTGTTAAATCAGTTTCTAATATATATATATTCAATTTGTAAATATTAATTGATGACTGAAGTAAATTCTTTAATCACATAATGGATTAAATGATTGGAAATATATGTAACTTTACATATTCTGATAACAAATTATTTTATGCCACATTGGATATTTAATATCAACAGAAGCAATGTCATTCCATCAAGGCACGTTGTAAAACTGATGATAAACCACAGTCGACGGATAGAGATTCAATTAAATGAAATAACTGCATAGGATAATGGAGCAGAGACTGTCTCTTCATTTTACAACTTCACTGTAACAGTTATTACACACTCTAACAGGCTTTTTCGATACTGCTATGATGGCCGTTTTGGAAGAGCATTCGTTGCAAAAGATGTTTCCGCAGTTACGACAGTGGTGCTGAAACATAACAGATTGTTAAATGCTTGTTCCAAACGTTTCACTTAGCTAACTGATTGGGCTCGATTACCTTTCGAACGGTCACGCTGAACTGCTTGAGACAGAGCGTGCAGTGCGTAACTTCCGCATCGTCCGTCCATTTTCGATTTTGATGTTTTGTATTTTCTATCTAAAATATTAAGAATTTTAACAGAAATTTCTTTACAGAATACAAATTTTTTTTTTTGCTAAGAAACTTGCCTGCAAAGTTTGATTCTCTCTACCAAGTTCTTGCAGGGCTGCCATTGTATCGTCTAATTTGTGTCTGAGATCAATGGTAGTCTCTTGCAATCTCTCGCATTCGCCTTCGCTCTTCAAACACCTTAACAGAAAATAAATTGCTTAGTACGGAATTAAAAACAAAATAAAAGGCATTAATTAAAATGAACCTTTCGAGCAAAGCTCTTCTTTCGTCTAAAGCATTTCCTAATTTGGCTTCTAGTTCTTAAAGAAATAACACACGAATGATTATTATAACACAGATCTCGTATTGAAGAAGCAAGTAAATATTTTACCTAAATTGTCTACTTTTAGTTCATCTGTCTGTCTTTCTAAATTTTCTCGTTTGTTTTGTTCTAAGCAAAGATCCTCTCTTAAAGTAGTCAGATTTTCATTTAATACACTAATCTCGGCATCATATTTGGATTCACACATCTGCCATTCCGTATTTAACTGCTGCTTTAAACTAATTTCTTCTTCCTTTATGAAAAAAATTTCATTGTTATGGTTTTCTAAATACATAATTAAAATTAAACAGTTCAATTTGTTCTTATTTACCAATTTCTTTTCTAATTCATCTATTTTAAGTTTGAGTTCTTTTGAATATTCTTGAAGTTGCTGAACTTCTTTGTGGTGGGATGCTTCAATCTAAAGTTATCAAAAAAAAAAAAAAAAGTTAATAAATAAATAGACTTTGGAATAAATTAATAAAAAAAAAATGCAAATTTTATTTATTTAATGTGAATAAAACTTTGTAGTCATTATATGGATCACATATGAAGCATATAGTTTCAAAACTGGCTAAGCCACTTGTGTTATTTTTTCAGGTTTGAATCATGGCTATGTGTATGGCTGATTTTTAAACCAATCTCCAATCTTCATCCCTTTTCCTGTTTGTGATTAGTTTAGAAATTTATAACATTAACCATTGAAATGAATGGGGGAAAATGCAAAAGATTAAATTCTTATCTAATTTTGAACTAACTTGGGTTTTTGAAACTATATGCTATGTATTTTTTATTTCTCTATCTCTAAAACATAATTCTCACATTCTTATTATTTTTTTGAATAATAAAATCTATTAGACTGTCAAATCATTACTGGGATCTCTTATAGTGCAAGAATTCTCAACTGCAAATTGTTCAGTTATGGAAGCAAAGTCAGTTTCACTTGCATGATAGAATTAATTCCATCATGCAAGTGAAACTGACTGACTTTGCTTCTTAATTTATTGCAATATATTTAATTTTTTACATTTAAAAATTACATTTGTGGTCTCTATTGTAGGTATCAAAATACCTACAATAGTACTAATTTACAAATCATATCATATTCATTTTCATACAAAATACCTGTAAGTTTTTCTTAATTTTTATTTTAGGAAACTTAATTATCATACAATTATTAAATTTTCTAAATAGTTTAAATTTTAAAAATATAAATACATAACGTTTTTATGATATAAATGAAATTCAAGCCTACTCTGAAAATGGGTACATTATAATTGAATATATGAAGTAATTGCTTGCCAATAAATGCCAAAACTGAATTGAAAATGTGATAATTATTATAAAGAACTATTTAATACCTGATTCATTTCATCCTTTGCGTGATCAATTTCCTCTTGCAAAGTAAGTTTTTGATTTATTAATAATTGCTTTGCATTATTTAATTCTTCTATTTCCTGTAAATAAAGATTTAATTTAATCTGTAATGATTGGAAATTAATTTTTGTATTAGTTGCAATTACCATATCTTTCTTTTCTTTTTCTTGCTGATAACTCTGTCGGATGGTATCCAGACTGTGCTCGAGCTCTGAATTGGTTTCGGTAAGTTCTGAGAGTCGTCCAACAGTTGCAGTCAGTTCAGATTCTAAATAAGCATTCTGATTTTTCAACTCAATTTCCCTGCTTTCCACTTTAGAGATTTCTGATTCAAGATTCTGAATTTTTTGGCTTAGCTCTTTATTTGTCTGTGAAATAGCACTATTGTTAGTATAAAATAATAGATGAAATTTCTAATCTTCATAAAATTTGATTCTTACTTCCTTAATATGGTCTACTGTCTTTGATAACTGTTGTTCATTCAACTGACTTGCATCTAGATTGACTTTTGTGGTTGTTAGTTCTTCTTTTAAGTTTTCCACTTCCAACAGCAAATCTTGACGTTCTGTTTCTGATTTATTCAGTTTATTTGCTACGTCCTAAATTTAAAAAAAAATTACAAATCACTATTAGTGTTGGCAATTGAAATTACTTATTCCCAATTCTTACTGAAAATTAATAAAGTTTCTAATTTACTAGGTATTTTCTAGGAAAACAACTCTGCAGCACACATTTTTCTGTTTTAGCTTGATACAAAGATGCAAATGTGGTAATATGCTTCTAACAGTCTGTCTAAAGCAGTTTAAATCCATGGGTACAAGGGGGATGTGCATGTCCATTGTCAAAGCCAACAAAAATGTCAAGAAATATTTGAAACATCCATATATGCAGCCAGCACTCCAACAACCAGTTAAAAGATGTATGTGTGCAGCCACAGGACACACGTGTGCAACTTTTCAAAAGTTAATTTCATCAACACATCATGCATGTTAAGTGCCCATCATAAAGATCAAAATAGAGTTGTTGTAGAGATCAATATAAGTTGATAGCAATCATAATCTTGACTGACATGTGTATGATGAACTTACAACTGGCAACCCACCCATAGAATTTACATGGAGAAATTTGACCTTGATTATCTTGGCCCATAAATGGGATTTTCAAAATTCTGGCTTTGTCACAACATTGGCCCTGCCAAGTTGTATGTATTGGCAAAAAATCATATTTAATGGTCGTAAAGTTGCTTTAAATTTTGATCACAGACAAAACACTTTGACTTATAAAGAGTTCTGCTTATGCTCCCACTCAATTAGTGTAGCAACTGAAATACTCAAAACTTAATATATTGACAGTAGTTTCAAGTCTTACCAACATCAATTAAAAGTAATAAGGCAATACTTTAGCTGTTAAAATATTTCTGAAGTAAAAGTAGCAGAAATAAGTAGGTTTTCCTTATTTATTTCTGCTACTATAGTTTTTTATCAGGAGAGAGATAGAGGTAAACTAAATTTATTAAAAATTTGGTAATATGTGCAAGAGCATTATCTTAAAAGTTTTTTATTTTTTCAACTGCCTTTTTTCAACATCCTTGCCATAAATGATATTCTTAAGAGGGCAAGTTGAGCACAAAAGAAAGTGGAAAAAAGAAAAAATAATTAGAAAAGGAGCCAGAGAATTAGCTCATATATTACCACTAATTTTAGAAAAGATCCATATTTTTTCTAAAATTACACAAATGTTTTATTATTTTGCTGATAAAACATTAAATGCAGTAATTAGGTCATGATAATTAACTTTTAAGTACTATTAAATGATAGTTACCACTATTCATGAATAAAAAGGTTTTAAATTTTTCCTATCAGATAACAGATCCCGATTTAATAGAAGACAAAAGATTTCTAAGTCCAGGGTTACTGTATATTAATAATCAATATCTAAATATTATTCTTTGAAAACTTTTGATACTGACAGAATTACTTAAAAACCAATAGAAAAATTACACCAATAATATTTCAATTTAACATCAGAAAGTGACTGTCAGAGTTAATTCCAATACTGCCAATTTAGCTATTTTGTAGTTAGATCTAGCTATTTAATTTTATACATTTAGCTGTAAAAAATTATCATTTTTCTGTTGTCAAGATAGTGATTTAATTATTTTTCCTTTTGCTACAAAACTCAAACTTTTTTCAATGTTAATATAGTACTTTAGTTACTTGAGTCAGAAAGGTTCAAAAAAGTTTTATATTTATAAACAAACCACAGTTTTATTGGAACAGTGTTTACTTTTCTATGAAACGATAACTTTAAAATCTAAATCTATTAAGATCAATTTAAAAATGAAATGTTTCATAATTTACTTTAAAAAAAATATATATATNGAAAAATTATGCAATCGAATTTCAAATAAACGGTTATGTAAAAAATTAAAATGTAACATGTTATAAATGAAAATGATATACAAATTTCCGTGTATTTAATAAATAATAATAAAAATAAATAAAAATAAAAAATCTATCCAAGATCATCCTAAGTCTGATTAAGCCTTTTTTTATAGATCTATGCCAATTCGTCGCAAAAAGATTTCCAAGCAGATGAAAGCCCGTCTGCATCCCTATAGTTGATACACTGCGTGCTCTTCTGCACCCTGTGGATTTCCATCTTTTCGAGATACTTTACCGCGTGTCTAGATCTAGTAGCTTTTATTATAGATGCCTGGTCCCAGAAAACAGTAATGCCTTGTTGCTTAGCATAAGTGGTAAGGACTGTACTGTCAACAGTTTTGCTCACTGAAAGCTTATGTTCATTGATTCTTTTTTTCAAATTCCTCAAAGTTGTGCCTATATATACTAAGTTAGAGTTGAACCTATGGTCTCTTAGCGGTATTGAGTATATTCCTGTTAATGAGTTACGTTCATAATGACCCTTGTCATTCCTTAATATCCTGTATATAGTGGGATTACGTCGATAAACTATTTGTAAGTTCTTATTTTTGGAAACCCTCTTGACAATCAGTTTAAGGAGGGGTATATAATCGAGGACCACTTTGCTTTTGCCTACTTGCCAGATTATTATCCTTCTTAATGAGAGCCTCTATTCTTTTCCTCCCGTAGCCGTGCTGTATGGCAGTTCTTCGTATATATTGTAATTCCTTAACTGTATCGCAAACGTTTGTGCAATGTGTGTGCGCTTTTCTTATCCAAGATCGAAATACCGCCATTTTAATATGCTCCGGATCCGCCAAATTCTTAGGGAAAGAACTGCCATACAGCATGGCTACGGGAGGAAAAGAATAGAGGCTCTCATTAAGAAGGATAATAATGTGGCAAGTAAGCAAAAGCAAAACCACCAAAAAGAAAAAGTGGTCCTCGATTATATACCCCTCCTTAAACCGATTGTCAAGAGGGTTTCCAAAAATAAGAACTTACAAACAGTTTATCGACGTAATCCCACTATACAGGATATTAAGGAATGATAAGGGGCATTACGAACGTAACTCCTTAACAGGAATATACTCAATACCGCTAAGAGACCATAGGTTCAACTCTAACTTAGTATATATAGGCACAACTTTGAGGAATTTGAAAAAAAGAATCAATGAACATAAGCTTTCAGTGAGCAAAACTGTTGACAGTACAGTCCTTACCACTTATGCTAAGCAACAAGGCATTACTGTTTTCTGGGACCAGGCATCTATAATAAAAGCTACTAGATCTAGACACGCGGTAAAGTATCTCGAAAAGATGGAAATCCACAGGGTGCAGAAGAGCACGCAGTGTATCAACTATAGGGATGCAGACGGGCTTTCGTCTGCTTGGAAATCTTTTTGCGACGAATTGGCATAGATCTATAAAAAAAGGCTTAATCAGACTTAGGATGATCTTGGATAGATTTTTTATTTTTATTTATTTTTATTATTATTTATTAAATACACGGAAATTTGTATATCATTTTCATTTATAACATGTTACATTTTAATTTTTTACATAACCGTTTATTTGAAATTCGATTGCATAATTTTTCGAATTAGAGAAATAACTGATTGTGAAATTCGAAGTTAATAAAAGCATTTAATCCTTTAAAAGTTTAATAAATTTAAAATAAAAATGCCCTCAACCAAAGGAATTTGACCCTACAAAAACGCAATATAAAGTACAAGAGAGAATTATAACTCTTTTTGTTTAAAGATAAACATTCTCACAATCAAACCGTATATAGTTTACAGTTATCGGCGAAATTCGTCATATTGTTGTCATTCTAACACCACCTTTAACCCCACACCTGCTTGAACAATTGATCACCTGACAAATTTTCCCACCAAAAAGGTATAAAAGCCATCCTCCTTCCCCCTCTCCGGGGAGTCGCTAATCAAGAAGTCGCCATTGCGCCATCAAGATAGAGTTTCGCTTCCCTCTAACCGGCCGCACCACATATTAGAAGACCTTCAATCCCAACCATCAACTTGGATCCCGCCTTTCAGAAATTAAAGACCTTCGATATCATCGCAAGAGGTATGAACGCTTTATTGTAAGCTCTCTCTCTCATACGCGAATGCGACGTACTGTGTTAGAACGTTTGTTTTATTATTTGTTTCTAATAAATTGTTAGTTTAGAAAAATGGTGTCTTTATTCGACTATGCCAACGCCTTATCGTCGGCCCCGTAACTCTCCTCCACTCGCATAACGCGTAACCAAACGTTACTACCATCCCTGACAAGAAAGTAGGTCACCGACCAGTGGCTGGAAGGAGAGGACTCCTCTTCCCTCCAGGTGGCTCACATGATGATAAATGCTCAATGCGTTTGAAAACGTTTTTATGTTGTTAAAGAATTTTGCTAGATAGTTAAATGGTTTTTTATTTTTAAATTAGAATATAACACATTTATTCCGTAAAGAAAAGTAGAGTGTGTCTGTCTATTTCATTTTTATGTATGCATTATAATCATCAGCAACAGAGATAAAAATATTTTAAAATAATTTCTAAACTTACTTTTACACACAGTTCTGTTCTTTCAGATTCAAGACGAGCTATTGTATCTTTTGACAAATTAAGTTGTGCTTCTAACTCTTTTAATCTGTTATTCCTTTAAAACAAATCAAAATTTTAATTAAATATGTTATAGAAGTACAGAATATATAATCTGAAGCAAACCTGTAGGAAATGTAGAAAACTTACCCCTGAGATAAATGCCTTTGACATTCTTCTAGTTCTTTTTTTGTTTCTAAGGACTGAGTTTTTGCATTCTCTTTCTCCTTTGCCTAAAATTATGTTTTGAAATTAAAATAATTACTCTCTCTAAATATACAAATGATGATTTACACATATTTTGCATATAACTTGAATTTAAATTTTGTTTACTTAAAAATAATCAAAATTTTAATCAAATTTTAATCTTCACTATTACGGAATAAGTATAACCTACTGATATTTCATACATTTTATATCAATAAAAGTAAAATGAAGTAGGAAATCATTTTTAAAAAGTCCCAAAATTTCAATAATTTTGAAAGGCTGAATTTGTTTTATTCATTAGCAATATAAAAGCCGTCATTTATGTGCATGCATGTGAATTCATTATAACTCCTGCAATTTTTGTCCAATCCACATGAAATTTTGGTTTTATTTGTTTTATCTTCTGATGGAAAGTACAAGCTACTTATTTTGCAGAAACATTAGCTATAGAATAAATGTTTTATCAATTTTGGATCAATGATTGTACTACATTGTAGTAATGTCAGTGACCACATTCATGCTTGACGACGGAATTTTCCTTAAGTTGAATTTTAAAGTATTTTGGCAAATGGCATATTTTAAACTTACTTCATTAAATTTTAAAAAAAAAGATAACTGCAGTGTGTCACTTCTATACCAAATTTTTAAAAAAATCTTGCCATAGTGACTACGTCATGTTCTATTATCCAATTGGAAGTAACAACGTAATGAGCCTGTTAGTTAGATGAGCATAACACTTTCTAAACAACATACAAACAATTCACCTTTGTTTTATCAATATGGAATTAAAAAAAATTGCCATTTTGAAAAAAGAAACCTAAGGGAATGCAAGAGAGTGAATTTGGTTAGGTAAATTTTAGATCTAAAAGAATAAGAACAACTGAGACCCCTGAAGGCTGCAAAGTCCAACTTGATCAACATAGAGTAAGAACGGCTTTGTCAAGGGCTGCAGGAACAGCATCACAACGTCAAGCTCAACTTTACTCTTCTCAATTCTTCAATCTCTACTTTCTCATAAAAAGTATTCCATCATGCTTGTTGGGGGAATTTCTAGTTATGTTATAATTACTTTAAGAATCAATATGAAACAACTGGCAATTCCAGCCAAACTGACATCCTCTAGTGTTAAATTTTATATTTAACACAAACAATCAGATTTATGAGTAACCTGTGTTTGAAATAATTTAAAATGACCCAAAAACGCTCCAAAGATTATTGTTGTGTGCCACAGTTAAATAACCAAAACATAAAATTTAGGTAGAGAATTCTTGTAGAAATAATTGCTTTGTTTAAAATGAATGCCTTCTATTAGTAAGAACATAATACTGTTCTGAATGGGTGTACAGTACATTAAGTTCAAACTTTAGTCATTTTATCATACTATTATTCTATAATTACAATTTTTAATGAAAGTATTTGTATTTCATTATCAAATTACTGTAGTATGATGCAAAATTATTACATTAACATTATATTAAATTTAAGTTAAGATTATGTTACTTGCAAAATATTATCTGTTCTTAATATATTATGATTGAATTTTTTAACTTTTTGGTAATTATTATTATTAAAAATTTATATGAATGTTTGAAAATATTACGCAGAAATATTGATATAACATTAGAAAAATACCTTATACAGCAGAACCTCAGTATATGACCTTAATCCATTCCTAATGTTTGGACTTATACCAAATAGGACGTATACCAAACCAACCTTTCCCATAAGAAGTAATGTAAAAATGATTAATCCATTCTCATGAAAAAAATGGCTGGCTTTAAACACCTCGCTTTCCTGGCTAGTTCCTGCTTGATTTTTCATGAGATCAGCATGTATCTTTTTAGCTTTCTCGCAAATAATTTCTTCCGATACGATGTCGCCAGNGCTCAGGATACGTCCAGTCGGAATTTTATATATCTTTCTTTATTTACCAATATATATATATATATATAGTAATGTGTACTAGATCAGATATATATACATAGATTATTTTTTTGTAATTTATGAAATACTAATCATCAGGCTATGGAAGAATATCAATCTAAAATGTTTGACAACAGTTTTGGAATTAAATATTAAATGAACATTACATCTATACTAATATTATAAAGAGGTAATGTTTGTAAGTTTGGATGTAGGGGTAATCTCCGAAACTACTCATCCGATTTCAAAAATTCTTTCAACAATATTTAGAATGGAACTTCAGGGTGGACATAGAGTGTATATTATTCCGTTAAACATTCATATAAATTAAAAGATATCATCTAGGTTAAGGCTTTTGTGTCCAACAGATGGCGCTACAAGTACGATGCCCTAAGTTTGCTTTTCTGTGAGGAGGATGAACTAAAGCAGATCATCTATCTATCTATATAAATAAAAATGTAATGTTCGTTTGTTCCTCCCGATTCCTTTGAAATTTTGACACAATGCTGCATTCGAATACGCACGTGTTTTTATATAATATATATGACGAAATTTCCCCCACTGAAGGGAGATGGTTAGGATTAAGGCTTACTGTAAAGAACTCTGCTTCTATTTATACTATTTTAGATGCGGATTTTTGCGTTTTTGATTGTGTTTTAATAGGTTACATCAACAGAATATACACTAAAAAGGGATTTTTCAATATTCTCCCCGTGGGGGAGAGGGACAGGATTAAAGCTTACTGTGAAGAACTTGGCTTCTATTATACTATTTTAGATGCGCGTTTTTGCGTTTTTGATTGAGTTTTAGTAGGCTATGTCAAGAGAATGTACAATAAGAAGGAATTTTTCAAAAAATTCTCCCCCCCTCCATGGGGGATGTCTTATACATTTATAATAGATACATTTTGAGCCACAACAATGTGTGGCAGGGTCTGCTAGTAAACAATAAAGTGAGTTTGAATGAAGTGCATATTAAAAATGCAATTCAGCCTGAAATGTTTAAAAAAAATTTTTTTAGGCTGTTATTTTATATAAGCAAAGTATATAAAGTAACATGTAATTCTCAATGAATCTGTTTGCAAAATTGTGAACACATTTCTCTCTCTCTCTCTCTCTCTCTCTCTGTGTGTGTGTGTGTGTGTTTCTCATTATTATACAAAGAATTATTATTGAATTATACACATTCGAATAACAAATTCTGTTTTCTTGTGTAAAAAATCCATCAGAAACTATTTCTGGTGTCTAGACAAACTTATAATTAAGGATTCTAAGTTTTTCAAATATTACAAAATTATTTAACTAATCAAATTCTCACCTCAAAATTATTGTGAATTTGTTCCAATTCCTCTTTATAGTTGTTGGCAGACTGTTGAATTTCTATGCAGCAACTATTTACCTTAGCAATTTCTTTTTCAATTTCTTTCAATTGAACATCTCTAGCAGATATCATGACTGTCAGTTCCAATTTTTCTTTATTCAAAATTTCAACTTGCATTTTATACTGTTTCTCATTCTGATCCATCTCTGCTCTTAATTCTGAATTCTACATTTAAAATAATTTTATTTTACTGCTATATTATCAAAAAATTTTATTTGTAATGTATTAATTTATAAATAACCTTTTTCGTTTCTTCTTGTAACATTGTATTAAGCCTTGTTTGTTCATCCTGACTTTCTTTTAATGTAGTTTGAAGTGTAGACTCCTAGACAAGAAATATAATTGAAAGTAATTGCAATTGCAAATAGTCAAAATAATTAAAAAATATATTAGTTTTTTGAAAAAGAAGAACTAACCTTAGTTTGATACTCTTCTTGTAACTTAGAAAAAGTAGACTGGGAATTAAGTAGTTGAGCATTTAGTTTATTAACTGTAGATTTGTAGCTTTGGCACTCTTCTTCTATGTTATGTAATTGAGTTTTTATCTAAAATTTAAAAAAATGAATTAAAAATATAACAACAAATGTATTTACAATTAACAAGATAGAACATTATATATATGTAAAGCTGATTAGATGGTTGATGTAGCAAAAGTATCTTAATCTTTCAACAGTGGAATAGTCAGGTATGGTGCTATCCCAAAGTAGTGGAGAATAAACGTGGGAAATTTTTAAAGTATTTTTCCGCATGTTTTTTCTCATTACCGTTTTGGAAAAAGATTTTGTAAACAGTTATATCTAGTAAAGAAAAGACTTTTTTATTGTTACATAATTTATTTTTTAGGTAAATTTTTTTTCGCGGTAGTTTTTTGCGATACCCCAAAAGAATTTAATGGATATATCAGTCCTTCACTGCTGAGTAGTTAAGTGCGTCTCAGACAGACTTGGTTCAAATCCAGATTGGATACTATGGAATTTTTCATAAATGATTTGCTCTGGATGTAAAACTCTCTGATTACTTGGTTGCCTTAATGTGAACTTGACTAAACCAATAATGGGTGTATGAAATAAAAGCCTTCTTAATGACCACAAGATGGAATGAATACAAATATAATTATATACCCATCCCATCTCATTTAAGGTTAGAAATAGCATTATATATTATACAAACAATATATGTTAAATTTTACTGTTTTGTATACTCTCATTCCTTAAATAATGGGACAACAACAGGCATGCTAAAATAAGTAAGTAGTTGTATGTTGTGTTACCAGTACATGTTGATTGTTTCTCTCTGTCTTCTTTGTCCTCACTTTGTAAAATAATTAAGACACTGATGGTTAAACAATATATGTCATGTTTCTTGTTTGCCTTAACAAGAAACATGACATATATTGTTTAGTGTGTGTGTTGTTGCAGTAATATAAAGAATTTTTAGTTAGATATCATGCAAACATAAAATAGTTTACAACAATTTGTAATTAGATAGCAATACTTCAAAGAACATCTAAACATGTTAAATACTAGATATCAACATAATCACAAAATAAGCTCGTCAACATTTCATTTACAATGAAACACTTTATAATGAAAACAAAATAATTTGATAATTAACTTTTATACATGATTTAAGTGTAAGACTGATTATTATTCAACAAATTCTTCACAAATGGTGTGCTTATTTTACAATAAAAATAATTTTAAATCCAAAATATGAGGGCAGTTTTTTCAAGCTCTGATGGTCCATAAAACAAAGACAAGTGTAAATAATAAAATGAATTTATTACCAAAAGTTAGATACAAACATGGTTACTTTTTGACATAATCACAGTGAAGATTGAGGAATTTGTCATATCTGTGGACAAGCTTTTTCATCCCCTTGTCGTAGAATGTTGCCACCAGTGAATTGAGATGGCCTTAACAATGTTGTTTTGTAGATCATCATTAGTCTCAAACCTCTGCCCTGCTAGCCACGTTTTCAGTTCAGGAAAGAGGTGGAAGTCTTCACACACTAAAAGGTTCCAAGTTGTGTGGAAGTCTTCACCACTTTTAAACACCTAGCGTATAGCCACGATTTAGCGCTGAGCAACTTCCACCTCTTTCCTGAACAGAAAAAAGTGGCTAGGAGGGCAGAGGTTTGAGACTGATGATGATCTTCAAAACAATGTTAGGGGCCATCTAAAGTCATTGGTGGCAGGCAACATTCTATGACAAGAGGATGAAAAAGCTCATCCACAGATATGATAAATTCCTCAATCTTCACGGTGATTATGTTAAAAGTAACCATGTTTGTACCTAACTTTTGGTAATAAATTCATTTTATTTACACTTGTCTTTGTTTAATGGACCATTGGAGCTTGAAAAAAAAAAAAAAACAGCTTACGTAATCTACACATAAACAACAACAAATTTATTTTATTTCCCTGAAACAGTAACATTGATACAAAAAAAATGAATCATATTAATCTATATTTGTAATACAACTCTGGAAACTATCTATCTCTAAGATGTATGAGGTATTAATATTTTTGCTATGTTTCTGAATACATGGCTGCAGTCAAAGCTGTGTGATTAAGACATTGGTATAGATACTAGATACCTCACCTGATGTTCTTCATAGATGAAATTAGCAATGTTAGAATTATCATAGACAGAAAGTAATTTTCAATGTTATATACCTATTTTCCTCAACTTTCCTTTCATATTGTTGACTATTGTAGGTTTTATATTTTCATAATGGTGAATTGGGACTATAGACCTCTTTTCAAGTATCCCAGAATATCAAAGTTACATAATTTAATAACAGCTGTTTACTAGCATCTTTAATATTTAGTCTAGCTTTATCAAAAGATATTGACTATCATTACTTCTTTTATTGTACATTTCCCACAAAGAATCATTCTGTTCTTTGTTTTCTATTACTAGTGACATATGAGCCACTCACTTGCCAAATCGATTAACTCCATAAAACAAAAAGTGGAGAAAGTGACAAAGTAATATACATTCATTTTTAAAATTCCTTGTAAAATATAAATTCAAATAAACACTGTAGATGTATTTTTTATTTAATAACATATAAAATGTATAAGATAGCATAGATATACTATAATCGTTATTATTATTACAATTTTGGTGTGATTGACAGTGTTAATCAATTTAGTAAGTGAACGTAGTTACATCAAATTCAGTCTTCACATTAGCATACATTTTTTATTAAAAATTTTTCACAAAAATGAATAATAACTGTTCTGCTACTTTGCATAACTTTGATCATTTTTAACTTTGTGGTAATTTTTTAATAATCTATTTATGATGTCTTAAGAAGATTTTTTTTCTCTTCAAGCTAATTGACTGTTACTTCTCAATTGGTCTGTGAAAAGAAAATGGACTTGAAAAATTATATATTTTTATGTAAGTCTCTATAGCTTGTTCTGTTACTGTTACAATGGTTGTTATTTATTATTTTGTTTGAATTGATTATTCAACAACATAAATGATGTCTTCTTCATCGGCTGTACTTGAGAATCAGCTCATCATGTCAATTTGTTCTTAAATTTTTTATAAGAATCATGTTTAATAGGAGGAATGAAAAAAATTATTTTCAGTTTTATCCATCTTGATATAACGAGTATAACTTTTCTTTTTTTCTTAAAACAATTGTCACCAAAATTAAAACAATTGTTCAATATTCCACAAGTATACTTCTGCGGCAGTTAGATTGTAACTAACTAATTCTTTTACTTACTTTTTGTGATGAGATAATATTAAATAATTTATTGTTATTTATAAAGCATTGGTCAGTGCACACTGCAGCATTGCAATCATAGTGTATGGTGGCAGATGTTACAGTATGGAGTTAATTAGATTGGTTTCTGAAATAAATCAAACTTTTTTCAATGGCCAATAAAATGTTGTCATTAAGTGATATTGATCCTTATTATTAGGGAAACTTATTATGAATATAAAAAGTTACAAGTATGTGAGAACCGAGCTTCGAGCTTCTCCCCGCTTACCGGCGGCTCGGTCAGAGAATGGCTTTATAGGATGGCAAAAATGTGAGTGGGGAAGGAAATGGGTAAGTTGACAGGTTGCCGATTACACGCAAGGAGGTTACCGATTGTACTCAAGGATGACACAGCATTAAATATAAAATAACACATTTAATTATCTAATTACCTAAACATAAATACACATACAAAGCGAAATGTTACAAAAAGGGATTACTCAAAATTATTCTATATCACGACAAGGAATATATGCTTGTCGATTAGCCATCTAAGTTCTAGATCTATAAAACATATTATTCCACTAGATTCAACTAACCTAAAGTAATCTATAACCAAGAGAGAGACAAGGAACAAAAGAGTGAGGATCAAATTTAGATCAAATACCTCTCGTGGTTCCGATCTCGCAGTATGGGCGTTGCTTACGAACTGTCCCCGGATTGGCTGACTCTCGTCATGTCTTACTATGGACTTGTGCTCCGTTGATCTCTGACTGTAGAGATCTGCACGGAGATGTCCGCTGAGGGGTTTTCCTGGCGGGTCCTCTTCAGCTGTCCACCCGAGGTTCAAGTGCAACCCCTTTTTATTCCCGTTCAGAGGGGAGAAGTTCGGAGTACATTCTGGAGCAATTCTGGGAAAGTTTTGATTTCTGTCAATTAGTATAACCATTTTGGTAGAATTATTATTTTTGCTATCCCGTCTTGTTACTTTTTCTAAATCATAAATTTGATAACAGTTGTCAAACTGACGGAATAAATTGCTGGAGGTGACTAAGGTTTGGATACGTATTGCAATCTTATTAATGATTGTTCGTTTGGTGGGTTATTCGATCTTTTATACCATCGTTAAAATTGGTCGAAGTAATAAATGTGTGGGTTGTGTTTTTCTCCCACCTCCAGAAGGGCCAAAAGGTCACTCCCCGAAGTGACAGAGAACCAAAAAAACAATGATGAGAAAATTTTATCAAAGCTCAAAAATTCATGCGAGCTCAAATTCTCACAAGTATATCAAGTGCTTTCACACTAAAATTTAAAAAAAATTCAAAATGTGGAGTTAATTGATTTGGCTTGTGAATGGCTCATATGAAAATTAAATTTGTTGATGTGTTTTGCTTATTGCATCTACTCAAAATCTTTCATCACATGTATGAAATATGTTGTTATTGTTATTGAAGTGATGGAATGTTCAGCAAAATTATTATGACATAGCAAATTGTTTATATCTGGATTTTGAAATTGTGGTATGTAAAAAAGATTTCTGTCTTCTTATTAAAAAAATAAGCTGAAGACATTTGAATTCCATTGATAAGTCATAAAAAATGTTTTATATAAAAGTCAAATACAGAAAATTCCTAGAATAGAAACTATAGAAAATTTTTATAAATTTTCCTTATAGGTTATATATCTAACTCAGTGCATTTTCTGACTGGCTTACAGATATTACTATACAATTGGCCAATATTTTATAATTATATGATTTCTGTACATATTATAACTTACCATTTCATCATTTTTATAGAAACCTTATTTTTATTATAAAATACGAAAAATTCAAATAAACATAATTTTTTAAAACAATTCTTACATTTTGATATTGCTGGAACATTGCTTCATATTTGGCAGATGCTTGCTCCAGACTTTGTTTTTCAGCTTCTCTTTGTTCTTTTAATTGTTTCCTTAATAAATCCTACAAAACAAGAAATTGCCATCCCAATTAAATAATAAAATTACCATTCAATGAGTACAAGAAAATTTAAATTAAATAAGAAATTTTAAAAATTTACATTTTCTTGTTGTAATTGCTGGAGAGCCGTATTTGTACCTTCTCCTGCTTCAATCTGAAAGAGTTTTGATTATCATCAGTTATCACCTGAACTATTATATATAAATGTGAAACACAATTTTACTAATTATTAAAACTGTTTAATTTTAAATAACACTTTTCAAATTTGGATAATTGTTTCAAAAATTTAATGACATTTCCCACATTGTTCCCTGTTCAAGCATAAAAAAATGCCACAAGCAGTTGATCAATGGATTAAACAGGCACATTAGACTCAAATATTAAACTACATAAATAGCTATGAGATAAAGAATGAAATTTAATATTTGTTCATGTTAAACTTTTTTTTTATTGAGCATTGTCATGTGTATCACTGGTCTGCATGTGGCTTGCAAGGAGTTGCCATATCAATATGGTAGCTCCTTGCACATTAATGTGTTGCATGTGATCATGGACTATTGCATTTTTATGGTAGCCTACCCACCTATGCTAGTCATGTGAGTGACCCACACTCAAATTTCTGATTACATCCCTGGACAGTTAATAATAGCCAACTGGCAGAACAGGTAATAACGATTTTGTCATGTCTCAATAAAAACTTTAGCACAACAATCAGAATCAATTTAAATTAAATCATCCAATCATACAAGATGTTTACTCTTAATACACTAAACAAATGTATCATGTACACATTGTCTTCATTTTAATCTCACATTTAATATTGTATACAATACTCTAGTTTAAAATTTCAATTTATGGAATTTGTTTCTCCATTTATAGGCTAGCTGTTTGCTATTGTCAAAGACTGTGATCATCATTACTGTTTAATTAAAGTACAGTACTGTACTCTATCTTTTAGCAAGCAGCATACTGGAAGAACAAATAAGAAATGTAAAAATTTGTCCCCAAAAGATAAACCTTAAATTGTAGAATGACTCATTTTTGGCAACTTAGTCAGTTTTATGCAAGATTTTTGAAAAATAGTGAATATTGAAATGTCAGCAGGAAAAAAATGAGAACACTATTAAAAAATAATAATAATAATAATAATAATGAAATTGAAATAGCTTTGAAGCTTTGGTTTAGTATTGTTCATGAAAAAAAAATGCACCTGGGACACTAATGCATCAGAAAGAATTAGCTAAAATATGGAAAATATTCTACTACAACTAATAGATAGTTCAAATAGTGGAGAAAACAAGATTATTGTGTATAGATACACTTGTGATGAGGAGAAAAGTTATGCTTTCTGTATTAGCTGAATTATTGGGTAAAGAGAGAAAGAATGGCCATATATAAATTATATTATATTAAATAACATATTATTACTGAATATTCACTGAGGAATGTCTACAATGCAGACAAAACAGCATTTCATTGTTGTACAATGCCTAATCATACTTATATGTTTAAACATGAAAGTGCTAAAGGAACATTCTTCAGTGAATTTTTATAATTTTTAAAAATCTCTTATAAATTCCTTAAAGTAATTTAAATGATTCCAGTTTTGTTCTTTTCAGTTTAAAACTTTTTGTTCTAAGTTCTATTCTGTATGCTGTTCTCGAATATAGCATGCCATAATCTTATAAAATGTGTATTGATAATGACTTGAGTCAAAAATGTTTTTGAAAATAAAAAATATTTGTTTGGCTACTTTAATAGGCAGTATTTGAAGTATTTAATTTATCAACTATGATACCAAGTTTTGTTATTTATTAAATATATAATAAAATTATTTATTTTTAATTATTAATCATTATTTTTCTTTTTTTAGTCTCTCATATTCTTAGAATATAACTGTATACTTGCTTACTGGAGAATTCAACTTAAAAATAAAAAACCATTCAACTATCCAGCATAATTCTTTAATAACATAAAAATGTTTTCAAACGCATTGAGCGTTCATCATCAGTTATTTCTCTAATTCTAAACGGGAAATTCGAAAAATTACACAATCAAATTTCAAATAAACAATTATGTAAAAAATTAAAATGTAACATGTTATAAACGAAAATGATATACAAATTCCCGTGTATTTAATAAATAATAATAAAAATAAATAAA